TAAAAATGTGCTTTGTACAATTGATGTCTGTATGGATTGTGGTGAGTTGTATGAGCCCCCAATAAAATGACCTTAAAAAAAAGAAGACCCTCAGTGACACGAACTGACACAATGGCTGCAGCAATGGCGCAGCTATAGTAGAGTTAGACCTGGTGCATTCATTCTTTAATACACAGGGTCGCCATGAGGCAGGAGAGTCTCAGCGTACTTCAGCAACAGCAGCAGCCATATATGATTACCGATCTACACTAAGTTAACCGAGGGACAAGTTTTTATTTTAATTCACTTTAAATGTATGAAGCCACATGTTCCTAGTCGTTATCAGCCTAGACAGCCCAGCTAAACAATTAAGATATAATAGACCACATATCAACTCTATTAATTTTACTGTAATTACACTAGATTACATAGCAAACTATCACTAACATAAAAAGTAATGTTTTCTGACAAAATAATAATTTATAAATTATCAAGGGTTCATGAGGGAGGTGGGGCAGGGAGGAAGGGGAAAAATGGGAGCTAAAACCAAGGGCTCAAGTAGAGAACAAATGTTTTGAGAATGATGATGGCAACAAATGTACAAATGTGCTTAACACAATGGATGGATGTATGGATTGTGATAAGAATTGTACGAGCCCCCAATAAAATGATTTAAGAAAAAAAAATAGCTTATGGAGTTAAATTCTCCTCTGAACCCTAGTCCATTGCTATCCAAGTGTGGTCACAGGACGAGCAGCTGCATCACCTTATAATTCTTTAGAAATGCACATTTCCGGTGTCTTCCCAGACCTCCTGGATCAGACACTCTGGAGGTGCATACTAGACAACAGTTGTCCCAAAATCCTTTGCAGTCAAATTTGAGTGCTACTCTTTTTGACTTTCTGAAGAGAGTATTCAACCTTATTAATATTTTAAAAATCAAAATCTGGGAATTCTAGTGATTGGAAATCCAGTGATTTTTCTTTCTTTTTTTTTTTAAGTGGAATTCTTTTTTTTTTTTTAAACATTTTATTAGGGGTTCATACAACTCTTATCACAATCCATACACATCAATTGTGTAAAGCGCATTTGTATTTCATTCTCAAAACACTTTCTCTCCACTTAAACCCCTGACATTAGGTCCTCATTTTTCCCCTCCCTCCCCGCTCCCCCCTCCCTTATAAGCCCTTGATAGTTTATAAATTGTTATTTTGTCATATCTTGCCCTGTCCAACGTCTCCCCTCACCCACTTTTCTGTTGTCCATCCCCCAGGGAGGAGGTCACATATAGTCCCTTGTAATTGGTTCCCTCCTTCCTATCCACCCTCCCTGTTTCGCCACTAACACCACTGGTCCTGTAGGGCTCATCCGCCCTGGATTCCCTGGATTTTCAGTTCCTATCTGTACCAGTGTACCTCTTCTGGTCTAGCCAGACTTGCAAGGTTGAATTCGAGTCATGGTAGTGGGAGCGGGGAGGAAACATTTAGGAATTAGAGGAAAGTTGTATTTCTCATCCTTCTTACATCGCACCCTGACTGGCTCGTCTCCTGCCCGAGACCCCCTCTGCAAGGGGATCTCCAGTGGCCTACTAATGGACTTTGGGTCTCAACTCCGCACTCCCCCCATCATTCACTATGGTAAGATTTTTTTTGTTCTGATGATGCCTTATACCTGATCCCTTTGACACCTCATGGATGCGTAGGCTGGTGTGCTTCTTCCATGTGGGCTTTGTTGCTTCTGAGCTTGATGGCTGCTTGATTACCTTCAAGCCTTTAAGACTCCAGACGCTATACTTTTTGATAGCCGGGCACCATCAGCTTTTTTGCCACATTTGTTTATGCACCCATTTGTCTTCAGTGATCCGTTTGACACCTCGTGATCACACAGGTTGATATGTGGTTCCATGTGGGCTTTGTTGCTTCTGAGCTAGATGGCCGCTTGTTTACCTTCAAGCTTTTAAGACTCCAGACGCTATACTTTTTGATAGCCGGGCACCATCAGCTTTCTTCACCACATTTGCTTATTCGCCCGCTTTGTCTTCAGCGGTTGTGTCGGGAAGGTGAGCATCATAGAATGCCAATTTAATAGAAGAAAGTATTCTTGCATTGAGGGAGTACTTGAGTGGAGGCCCAATGTCCTTCTGCTACCTTAATACTAAACCTATAAATATAGGCACATAGATCTATTTCCCCATCCTCATATAAATATTTTTGCATATGTACATGCCTTTATCTAGACCTCTATAAATGCCCTTTTCCTCCCAGCTCTTTCCTCTAGGAAATCCAGTGATTTTTCAAATTGCTAGGAATGCTCTGGAGTTGTCATTGGGGTGGCCAAGGAGAATGTTGGACCCCTAGATTCCCTCCCTCTGTTTTCCCCAGAGCAGTTTCCTTTTGCTTGTAGACAAGTCTACCATGTTCTCCTTCAGTGCCAATAACATTTTATATAAAAACTAATGTTTGAAGAGTAGTAATTTAAATTAGAGGTTAGCCTACTCCAGTCTGTGAACCAACCGTTTGTTTGTTAGATAAAATTGTATTGGAACAAAGCCGTACCCATGAGCTTCCATATTGCCTATGTCTGTTTTTGTCCAGGCTACCTTTGTGTCACAGGGGCCGCGGTGAGCAGAGTGCATATTGTCTGTGACCCATACGCCTCAAATGTCTGCATCTGACTCTTTCAGAAAAGTGCACTGATCCCTGATCTCAGTCATTCAGGTTACTATGTACCTTGAAGTTAGGAGGACAAAATGCCTTTCAGCAGCAGCTAACTATAAAAATAACTCTGGCAGAAAAACCTTCATGCTTTTAGAAAAGTAGAGTGTGGGAAACAGTGTTTCAACAGCCCCAAAATGCAGATACTTAGTGGAGGCAAACTTCCTTACCTATTTATTTCGTCTGTCTTTGAAATCCCGAGTATGTTCCAGGACGGTGACTAATTACTAGTTATAGTCACAATTAAGGCAGATGCAGAACTATATTTACCACTTAATATTCTATGACTAAAATTGATAACAGGCATTAAAAGAAGTCAAACTACTTAATTATATTTGACATAAAGAAGGAGCATAGTTTGAAATACCTCAAGGTTTCCATGAAAACAATTACAATAAAAGTTATTTTACTATTAGGGTAAGTTCCTTGAAAAAGTTTTATTTGGGATTTTCATAATTTTTAATACATTTTAAGAATTTTCTAAACCAAATAGTTATATAAGCATCTTTTTTGTAATTATCGAGTTTATGAGATGTTTAAAATTCATGTGTTTATAGGTGTTCATTCTCCTGGAATTTATTAGCAATCAAGTTCAAGTATGGAAAAAATAGGTTGGCTCTTTTGAAGTTCTTATAATTCTTCACTTTGAGCTGCCCTTGGGTATCAGGTTTTAAATTAAGCAGGGGATTGAGCCAGCAAATGCAGAAAGGCTTTCATCCTTCGTCACTGTCCAATGGAGATTCTGAGTAGAAAGAATCCCCTTGCAGCCATGATGTGAAAATCTGTGGGAAAGGTGTAACTGAAACCTGCCAGGATTTAAACCAGTAAGGCTGTTTGTTGTCTCCATGAGCTCATCGTGAGGATGTATGTATGTGGCAGGGAGGTGTGTGATGGGAACTCTTGTCTCCTTGACTCTCTGCTACATCTTGTATGCCGTGTGCTCTGTAGCCCTTAAGTTATTTTGGTATCCAGAAAGTAAATTATTAAAGCTATGATTTGCAAGCTTGTGTCTACTTCACCTATTATTAGAATTCCTAGTTTTAATGGACTTTTCCTTAGTGAATAATTTAGTTTCCTCTAGCAGATGCAAGATAATGAAACCTCAGTTAATGGCTTTTAGGGACTGAGTGCTGGTAAACATTGCTTTGTTATGCTGATAACTTTTGAAAATTACTTTGTAATGAATATAGTTATGAAAAATATACAAGGAGAGATTATAAAAGGATGTTGTGGTACTATCAGTGTATCTCTATAGTGATGTTCTTATCTCATAATGGTTCCTGAAGATGGCTCCTCTTGTCTGTGTAACTTTTGTAGAAAGGATTAAAGCCTTTATTAGTGGAAAGGTTTGCAGTTTGGAACTTGTTTGTTTATCCAGCTACACTTGTGGTCTTCAAATTGGAGTTATATACTAAATAGATTGTGCAAAATGACCATTGTGGTGTAAGAAGAAAATATTACAATGTCTTTATTTTAATCTGATTTTTAAATTCTTACTTTTAAAATTTATTAGATAGTGTAGTGGTTTATGCAATGGGTTGCTAACTGCAGGGTCAGCAGTTCAGCCCCACCAGGCATACTGCAGGACAGAGATGAGGCTATCTACTCCCACAAAGGTTTTCAATCTTAGGAACCCATGTGGGTAATTCTGCTCTAATTATAGAGTTGCTGTGAGTCAGATTCAACTTGATGGCATGAGTTTAAAAAAATTTTTTAATAAAGACATTCATAGAGTAATGGGTATATATATACATACTTCATAAGCAAATATATTTAGATTAGAGTATTTAATAAAAAACTTTGTGATGGATGTGTATAGCCAGTAATAAATACTAGGCTTTATACTATGGTTAAATTTTATAGGCAGTTATATATGTTGTATGAAAGTCTTAGTAAGCAAAGAAATATTTTAGTTCGCTAGTCACTTTCTCTGTATTTCAGTCTAAAAGGTAGAACTGAACATTAGTTTATTAATACTTGCTGTATATTTCAATAGCTTTTCATTTTTTACTTCAGTTAATGTTAGCCCTGATGGCTAAGTGCTGCACTGTTAACCAAATTGCCAGCAGCACACCAGGAGAGTAGTGGGTACTCCATGTCCATAGAGACAGGCAGCCTTCACATCACGACCGACAGTCTGTTCTGTCCGACGGGTCGCTGTGAGTCTGCGTAGACTCACCAGCAGTGGGTGATGTCCATATCTTCCAAGTAATTACTTTTCTGCCATTGAATTGCTAATTATTCCTTTGTGTACAGCAGGGACATTGTTTTATGGTTTCTTAATTTTGTCCACGTTTGTTTTTGTAGCTTCAGGAGCTTTGTCTAAATTAACTCATGGATTAAAAGATGAATCCCTGGCATATATCTATCATTGTCAAAATCATTATTTTTGTCCAATTGGCTTTGAAGCAACTCCTTTTAAAGCTAATAAAGCATTCAGGTAAGAATTTAAGTATTTTCTGTAGATATTTCACCAGGAAAATGTATTTGGAGATTTGATGATTTGCCTGCCTTTGATTATACCAGACTACTAAAACCTTACATTAAAAAACAAAGTTTTGGGTTTTTTTTAACAGAATTGCATTCATTCTGTAAGTAGTACTTTAATATTATCTGCTTGGATGATGTTGTTCTGAGACATGACAAGATAAAACCATATGATAATCACTCCTATGTTGATGTGAAAACAATTACAAAGAACTTTACAAATTATGTCTGAGAATTCTCATCAGATACATATGAAAAAATGTATTGGAGATACATATGAAAAAATGTATTGGAGTCCCAACAAGATTCTCACAACAGAGTAAATTTTTTGAAAAGCATCTTCCTTTCTCATGGTGAAAAATAAGTTAATCAGGTTTTCTTTTTGTCCTGGCAACAAGGAATCTCAAAAGCAATTTTTATTTCAAAGACAGGATATCTACTAACATTGTAGTTATTTAATTTTTCTTTACTTGATCCAGAGTTGCTATTAGTATAAATATCTTACATACCAGTACACTTAAACCTTTTTTCCAAAGATATAGTCTCTTCCAAATAAGAGAGAGTGACTAAGTTTAATGCTTTTTTCTTCTTAGCAAGTTTTCTTCATGATGTGTTGAGATAGGTAAAAGGAAAACTGCCCTAGTTGAGACTGGTGGCCACAGAAGCAGTGAGTTCCGGGAGTGCACACAGTGGTGGCCACGGTCATCTAGCTGAGGTTCTGGTTTGCACACATCTGGATGCTTAGCAGTGGTGCTCTCTCAGTAATTGGTCTCATCGGGGAGGGCCCACGGTCAGGTTAGGCAGGTATCATTTATTTGGTCATCTGGATATGGGATGGGCTCTTTGAAGCTGGAGGTCCGTGTGGTGGGTGAGACACCTGTATGGGGTGGGTGAGATGTTGAGAGAGGCAGCAGTGGTGTAGGAGAATTACCGTAGGAAGCTGATCATTGTATTTTTGTCAATGAAAGGAGAATTTGTAAGGTAGAATTGGGATCATGATAGTGGGGGGGGGGGCAGCATTAAAGAACTAGAGGAAAGTTGTATGTTTCTTTAGTGCTATACTGTGCCCCGATTGGCTTGTCTTTTCCTTGTGACCCTTCTGTAAGAGGATGTTCAGTTGTCTACAGATGGGCTTTGAGTCTCCACTCTGCCTTCCCCCTCATTCACATTGATACAATTTTTTGTCCTGGGTCTTGGAGGGAGGGAGGAGGAAAAATGAGGAACCAATATCAAGGGCTCACATAGAAAGAAAATGCTTTGAAAATGATGATGGCGAGCTCATCCCCCTCCTGTTACGTGCGTGCCTCTAGCACAGCCCCTTCCTGTTACATATGTGCTTACCGTGGCTTGCATGCCTGGGAATTCTGTAAGCTCATGAGAATACATTGTGCTCTCTCTGCTTGGATATGATCCCTGAAGTCATGGCGGAGGTGCCAATGAGTCGGTTCCAGCCCATAGCGACCTCATGCACCACAGGAGAAAGCACTGGCCGGTCCTGCACCATCTACACAGTGTTCCTATACTCGAGCCACTGTTGCAGCCACTGTGTCAGAGGGCCTTCCTTTTTTTGCTGCCCCTCTACTTTACCAAACATTAACAGACTCTGAGACTTGATTTGATTTAGAGTCGCTAAAGCAAGTGGAACAAAAGCTGAGGCCAAAGAGCTGAACAGAAAATTTCAAACGACAGCTTGAGAAGACAAAGCCAAGTGTTATAATAAAATGTGCAAATACCTAGCATTAGAAAAACAAATAGGAAGAACACACTCAGCATATCTTAAACTGAAAGAACTAAAGAAAAAATTCAAGCCTCAAGTTGCAATATTGAAAGATTCTATGAGCAAAACATTGACCGATGCAAGAAGCATCAAAAGAAGATGGAAAGAAAAGAACTGGTTGACAATCCCCCATTTCAGGAGGCAGCATATGAGCAAAAACCAATGATGCTGAAGGAAGAAGTTCAAGCTGCGCTGAAAACATTAGCTTAAAACAAGGCTCCAGGAATTGATGGAATACCAGTTTCAACAAGCTCTTGAAGCACCAGGAACACTCAATTGTTTATGCAAAAAAATTGGAAGACCGTTACTTGGCCAATTGGCTGGAAGAGCTCTATATTTATTCTCATTCCAAGGAAAGGTAACCTAACAGAATGCTCAAATTATACATCAATATATCACTGATATCACAAAAAAAAAAAAAGAAAATGATGATGGCAACATATGTACACATGTTCTTGACATAATGGATGTATGTATGGATTGTGATAAGAGCTGTAAGAGCCCCCAATAAAGTGATTTAACAAAAAAAGAAAAGGAAGAGGAAAACCACTTGGTTTCTACAAATCTTGTAATGCATTACTCGTTTCTCTTGAGGTGACCTTTTTGGGTGAGGTATTTTATCTTTCTCTTACTGTTTTTATCTTTTTAAAAAATCTTGTTTTGTACACTAGCCAGCTACCAAATAAAAATAGGAGTCAGTATTTTGCGTCTTTTTTTAAATTTTGCCTCTTTTAGAGAAGAATTTCTTATCTTTGTTGTACCTAAGAATCAACCGAGGATTTTTAAAATTTTTTTATTAATCAATTTATTGGGGCTCATACAATTCATCACAATACGTAGATCAGTGTGTAAAGCACATCTATACATTTGTTGCCCTCAATATTCCCAAAATTTGCTTTCCT